TTGTAAATAAACTCCTTGGAGAAGCAGGACTGGCTGATGAGATGGGGAGAGAATGTATTTTTATGCAACTTTTGAGTGGCCTTTCAAACCCTGAGATGAATGATTTGTTTTACTGGTTGTTGTTATATAGTATTATAAGTATTATGTGTTTGAAAGTTTGGGAATAATATTCACAGCTATGATGCTTGTAAACACAACAGTATTTATAAATGAATAAAGTAAGAGTTGATAAAATAGAAGCTTTGACTTTGCTTCCATCTTTCTGGAATTACAAGTTGTTTGTGCTAAAATTCCGTTTCTCCCAAAATTCTCGTGGCATAACAATATCCATCATCCATAAAAGCACAAAAGTTTTTCAGCTACAACACAGGTGCCTTTTCAGGGGAAGCTGAAATGAAGGAACTGGGATGCACATCCCTGAAAAGCACCCACCAGTGGGAAGGTAAAACAGGAGAGGGTCCCATCTCCTCCATGACATCACACTGGGGATCAGGCCCATTTCCCACTCTGGTGGCAAGCCCTGGTTTTGCTCAGAAGTTTGGTCAGCACAAAGTGTGGCACAGGCAGGAGGTGGTGTCACATCTGGGAACCTCTGTCTCGGGTGAGGCTGCTGGAACCTCCATGTGTTCCAGTCTTTGGAGGTGGTTGGTGCAGGCTGAGTTCTTCCCTTAGGGCTGGTGGAGCAGGATGCGACTGTGGGCCAGACTCAGTGTGCTGGGGGCCAAGAATTCTGTGGGGACCTTTGGTATTTCCCACCTGTGCCCCAGGTCTGGTCCAGCCTCGCTCAGCTGGGGTTCAAGGCTGCCCACAGCACAAGTCAGAGGGAGCTGGGGGGGCAGAGCCTGGAGAAAAGGAGGCTCAGGGGGGACCTTGTGGCTCTGCACAACTCCTGACAGGAGGGGACAGCCGGGTGATGTTGGGCTCTGCTCCCTGGGAACAGGGACAGAACAGGAGAAAATGGCCTCAGGTTGTGCCAGGGGAGGTTTAGGTTGGATACTGGGGAGAAATTCTTCCCTGAAAAGGTTGTCAGGGCCTGGCACAGCTGCCCAGGGCAGCAGCAAAGTCACCATCCCTGGAAGTGTTCAAATGGTTGTGAATGTGACACCTGGGACATGGTTCAGTGGTAAACGTAGCAGTGCTGGGTTAGCACTTGAACTCCACGATCTTAGAGAGCCTTTCCAACCTAAGTGATTTCATGATTCTGTGTTTTGGGGGACCTGGGCCCTTGTGGGGTTCCACCCACACCTCCATCCCTCCAGCATCCCTGGGATCACTGCCCTGGCTCTTGCCCCTCATGCCCCAGCAGCAAGACCAGAAGGGAACCAGCTCCTTTCAGCTCGTTTCTTTAATAAGGAGACGTAAATCATTACAAAATAACCATCAAACGATCAGAGACGGAACGACAGAGTCCACACGAGGGGAAGGGGCATTAAAAGCAGCTTCCGCCGGAGCCGAGCGCTGCGGGGCTGGCACGGTCCGAGCGGGGCCGGCACCGCCGCTCCAAGGGTGGCCGAGCCTGCGACTCCCAAAGGAGCCGGCTCCTCCCTCCCAGACCGGGAGAAAAAAGGAAAAGGAACCCGAGCCTGTTGCCAAGACTCGTGGATTCACTTCCTTTGGTACCCCCGGGAGCATCCCCGTGGCACAGCCGGGTTTGCTCCGCGATGCCGCCAGGAGAGGGAAGTGCCAGCCCTCGTCCCCAAAACAGAAACCACCGGCTGGGCATGGCAGAAATAACCCAAATTGCTCCGAAAAGCCTTTTCACCACCAGCAGGTCGACCCCAACATCTGTGCCCAGCGTTGTCCCGTCCCCTGGCCCGGGTGACAGCGGCACCCAAGGGCAGCGAGGCGCGGCCGCTGCGGCTCCCGGCAGCCCGAGCCCCACGAAACCGGGGGGACACACGGGGGAAGGGGGTCACGGCTCACCGCGGGCCTGTCCCCGTGGGGTCCCGCTGCACCGTGCTCTAATATGGCTTCTAAAGTTGCTCTGACGGTGAAATGCACCAACGCGACACAGGACACCGAAGCCACGATGTTGCTGCTACCCGGCCATGGGACAAACGCGACAAGACACAGGAACACGACACACATGGACGCCACGGCCGCGGCGGTGATAGCTCACTCTCCGCTGGCGGATCGGGCTTGGCATGCTTTGCTTCTTGGCATTATTTTCTTCTTTTATATGATTTAATCGGGGATTTTAATTTTAATTGGGGTAGGGGGGGAGAATCAGGGCGGTGGAGAGCTCTCGAGCGATGGGTTTTGGTCGTCGCCGCCTCCGTGGCGGAGCCGGAGATGGGGACGGCAGTGGCGGGGCGGTGGCAGCGCCGCTGGGCTGGGGCCATGCTGCTGCTGCTGCTACGTGGCTGCATCGCATGCACTGCTCGTGGTATATACAGCTATGTCTCCATATAATTTACCTACACACAGCTAAGGGGCGGGTCAGAGGCAGCGCAGATGGCTTCAGGATGTTGGTTGGTTTTCCCTTTTTTATTAAAAAAAAATTAAATCATGTATTAAAATCACAGTCTTCCCCCTCCCCCAAAGGCTTAAAGAGTCTGAGTGGAAAGCAGCCAGGTGGGATCGCCGCTCCTGGCCTGGATCCCCAGACCCCGGCTGATGCAGTGGGTCTGGGGGCAGGGGGGAGCACAGGAGGAGATGCACCTGGGGTGTGCAGGTGTGATGTGCAGGTGTGCAGGTGTGATGTGCAGGTGTGCAGGTGTGCAGATGTGCAGGTGTGATGTGCAGGTGTACACGTGTGATGTGCAGGTGTGCAGGTGTGATGTGCAGGTGTACACACCTCCACCTGCTTCCCTGGGAAGGCTGCAGGGCCATGCACACTTGCTGGCTGCAAACAAGGATTTCAGTGCTTTTTCTAATTCCTCCTCTTTTAGCCCATTCCATGTAAGGCAAATGCCCCCACACACCCCACACTCCCTCTCCCCCAAGGCCTGGATGGACCACAAAGTGAGACTGAGTCCTACCAGTGCTCCTGACCATGGGGCATCAGCCCTTCTCCAGCTCCCCATTATTAAAAGCATCCCAAGACTTCTTCTCCCTTTGGCTACAGGGGCAGGGCAGGACTCCATCTGTTGACACTGACACATCCATTAGGAAAAGGGACTAATTAAAGCTGGAGATGGCCCTGAGAGACCACTGGCTGGATGACCCCTGCAGACCCAGCATGGCCCCAGTGCCCCCTTCACCAGGGCATAGCCAAGTGCAGCTGCAGTGGTGGTGGAGGTGGTCATTAGAGGTCCCTGTCCAACATCTCCTTCCCACACTGCAGCTTGGCCACTCAAGCCCCAAACCTCCCCAGATGGAGATGTCCTGCCCTGGGGACCTGTCCCAGAGCTGCACAACCCTCCAGGGACGGGGGCTGGTCCCACGTCCCTTTGAACCCCTTGAGCCAAGTTTCAAACCTGGTGATTGCCACCAAGTGTCCCATTGTCTCCCCACCTCTGGAGAGGGCCAGGATGCCCTTTGGGAAGTCAGAGCTGTGGGAGCTGCTAAAGCATCCAACAGCACTGGCATGAGCTCAGTTTTGGCACTGTGTCCCTGGGCCTGGGTCCCAGCCCAGATGTTGAACCCCCAGAGCAGCATCCCCAGTGCCAGCACATCCCTGGGGCTCAACCCTTCACTGCTGCAGTGCTGGAACCCCCAGCACTGAGTCCAGGGATGCCAAAAGGAGCAGAGTGTGAGGCTGCTGTGGGGCTGGAGCTGGGACAGGGACATGAACTAACATCAGTGCTCCAGTACAGACTGGACTGCACTGGGCAGGGCTGCTGGACCCTCTCCCAGCTGCAGAGAACTGTGCTGGCTTTCTGGCTCAGAGGCTTTTCTGGGACAGTGGGAGAAGTAGCCTAGAGAAGCTCTTAGCCACTGTCAGGGTCATGGATATGGCTTATACCCCAAGGGGAGCAGGATGGGGTGGGTTTAACAGCCAATGGCCTGGTGGGGAGTAGCAGCTCATGGGGCTCGGGGGCTGTGGTCCCTTGTTGGCCCCAGGCTTGCTCTTGCCATCCCCACCCACAGCAGGTGATGGGGCTGGAGCTCCCCATGGCCCCCTGGCTGCCCTGAGGCTGGGGTGCCCACAGCAGTGATGGGACATGCAATGGACAGTCCCTGGGGAGACACCTGGTACAGCTCTGGGGAGCTGCCCCCATCACATCTGGAGACCTCTCATTGTAAACCTGCCTCATGGAAGCATTTTGATCTATGGGATTCACCAAGCATGGTGGGACACAGATGCAAATCACCCAGCGCTGCCCCTCTGGGGACAAAACAGAGGTTGTGGTGCTGCTGGTGGTGGTGATCCACACAGTGCTGCTGGTGCATCCACATGTCACCCTGTGTCTCCTTGGAGCAGCCTTCCTGAGGCTCCCTGTGCCCAGACTGGCCTCCACAGCTCCTGCTGCAACACTGAGGGCTCGACACCCCACCACCACAGCAGGATCCATGGCCCCTGCAAGCCTCTCCTCAAAGAACCCAAGCCTGGAGCTGGCCAGGGGCTCTCAGCCTTCCTTGGGGAGGGCCAGGGGGAGGCACCTGGGTCTCTTCAGAGGGTCTTCTGCACGATTTTTCTGTCTCACTGCTGGTCATGCCCCAACCAAGCACAGTGGGTCTGGTCATCTCACACCATCAGGCTCCAGCATCACCTCCACACAACGTTCCACGGTTCCCCACGTGATCCCAAGGGCAGGATGGTGGCAGCAATGCTGCAGGCTGGTGACACAGCTGCTGGGGAAGGTCCCAGGTGTGCTGCTGGCTTTGCACTGGGAAGGGATGGCGAGCAGAGGCAATGGGACATGCAGCAGAAGGGAGCGATGCCGAAGAACAAAAAGAACCATCCATGTCTTTAACCTCTTCCCCTGGAAGCTATTGGGACTGCCTGGATACCCTTCCAGAGGCATCGAAGGGCATTTCAGCTTGGAACAGAACAAAAACCAAAAGGAAGGTTGCAGAACTGAGGTATCAGTAGCTCTGGGTGAGCTGTCCGCAGACTATTTGTTCTTGCCGAGAGCTGCATCCACCTCCTCCTCCGGCTTGAGCGAGTGCCACTGCGCGATGGGCCGCCGCGGGTTGGCCAGCATGTCGGACCAGTGCCGCAGCTCCGTGCCCGTCGAATTCAAGCCCGTGAAGATCTTGCCAATGGCCTCGTTCTTCCCCAGCTTGTCATAGTCCAGCACTGTGATGACCACTTGCACTTTCTAAAGGAGGAAACCTTGTTTAGAGGGCTGGGAAGGTGCGGTGGCCATGACAGCTGCCTAGCCCCAGGGTGCCCCAAGGATCCCCCAAGGATGAGCCCCCAGAAGAAGCAATGAAAATCTCTAGCAAATGTGAAGAAAACATTCTTAAACCATCTCTTTAAGATAGTGAACTTCCCCTTTTAGGATTCAAACTGCTGCTGGATGTTATATCTGAGAAAATCTCAGTTTTCTTGTATTAGATTTTACTATAGCTACATTTGGCCCATTTCAGGGCAGGGCCCCAGCCCTGCTTCCTTCATGTCCTCTGAGGAGTGCAGAGCCCAGTGGGGGCCCAGCTCACCCTGAGCTGATTCACCTGGGAAAGGTCACCAAGGTGGGGTGTGGGGCTGGGCAAGAGCTGTGGGCTACTGGGCTACCAAGGGGCATGTGTAGGGACTTGCACAGGACATGGAGGGGCAGAAGGCAGTGGCCAAGAGTCCAAAATGCCCCCAGGACCACCCTGTTATGCTTAGGGTGAGCACTGTAGGATCAGAAGCAGAGGAAAACCCAATTTCAGCTGTGATCTGGGTTGGGGTTCACCTCCCATGGGTGCTGCCCAGCCTCCCACCTCTGACCCCACACCAGCTGCCCTCAGCATCAGCCCAGGCCCCAGATGAGACTGGAAGAATCTCCTGGGTGACCAGACCAGGAGCTCAGCAGGAACAGCTCAGGCTGCTGGAGGGCTGGGATGAGGGCTCAGGCAGCTTTACGACATCTTCCATCCCAGGGTAGTCATCAAACAAACCTGTATCTGCTCAAAGGGGATCTCAAAGCTGAAGGACTCATTGAAGTAGGGGTTCAGGGTCTTCTTCTTGACTGTGGTCTTCTTCTTCTTCAACCTCTTGCCATTCTGCAGCAGGTGGATCTTCACGTAGGGATCTGGGGGTCAGGATGGGGCATTAGCCAGGGCTGAGGTGCCCTGGGGGTACCCCTGGGGATACCCCTGGGACACCTCCTGCTCCCAGGAGACATCTCAACCCAGGGTGAGGGAGAGACTGCCCTGAGTAAAGACGGTCAAGGTTTGTGGTTGGATGCCAAAGACAAAATGGTTGGGCTGGAGAAGATTTGTGGGAGCAACTGGCCAAGGGATGGAGCTCTTCTGCATCCAGCAGAACTGGGGAAGGGTCTGGAGAATCAGGAGAGTGAGGAGAGGCTGAAGGAGCTGGGGAGCTCAGCCTGGAGTAAAGAAGGCTCAGGGGGACCTTCTCATTCTCCACAACTCCCTGACAGGAGGGGGCAGCCAGGGGGCTCAGGCTCTGCTCCCATGGAACAAGGGACAGGAAAAGAGGACACAGCCTCAAGCTGAGACAGGGGAGGTTCAGGTTGGACATCAGGAAGAATTTGTTTATGGAAAGGATGGTCAGGCACTGGAATTGCCCAGAGAGGTGGTGGAGTCCCCATCCTTGGAGCTGCCCAAGCAATGCCTGGACATGGCACTCAGTGCTCTGGTCTGGGTAACAAGGGGGGGACTAGGCACAAGTTGAACTCGATGGTCCTGGAGGTCTTTTCCAACAGTAATGATTCTGGGATTCTGTGCTGTGGGGCCCCTTGTAGGAAGGCAGGGGACAGCAGAGTGACAACTGGCCTGTCAGGTGAGTGACATTGGGTGGGCTCTGGCCTGACCCCTGTTTCTGGAGCAGGAAAGCCCATAATAATGCTGAATCCTTCCAGCCATGCAGGTACTGCTCTTGTCATGGTTAAAGCACGTCTGGAGAGAGCTGAGGACCCCTGGGCACAGAGCTCAGCCCTAGGATGGGGCTGGGAAGACACTTTAGGCACAAAACATGCTGGCAACCAAGGTCCCCAGCCACGAGGTCAAGGAGGAGCAGGAGCAAATGGCAGAGGAGCACTTTCACCTCCCAGGTCCTGCAGCATCCTGGGGGACCAGGTTTGAAGGGTCCTTCCCAAGAGTCAGGGATGCATCCCATGCCCATCTCCCCTCATCCCCCAGCCAGACCTGGGGCTGCCTCCAAGGCATGAGGAGGCCCTGGGGGCTCTCCCAAGCTCTGCCAGACAGATGGCCCCAGAGTCCTTTCCCACAGAGGGTGCTGAGAGCCCCCAGCAGGGCAAGGGAAGGTTGCCCCTGAGCAACACCCACCTGAGAGGCCCCCAACATCCATTTTCTTCAGGTTCTTGGCTTCCAGGATGCAGACAGTGAGCTTCCCGGCCGTGGGCACGTACCGCAGGGAGATGCAGATGTCTCCCAGCTTCTCTGGCTGCCAAGCAGAGCAAGGAGGGGAGATCAAAGCCTCACCAGTGCCTGGGACTCCAGTGGTTGGACACAATCACACATGCAGGTCCCCCCAAACCCTGCTCAGTCCAGGCACAAGCTGGCACCCTGTGCACCAACACAAGAGTTTGATCACCAGGTCCAGGTCAAGCTAGGCCCAGCACAGCACTCAAGATATTTTAGTCTTGATGTTTTTGTTATATAAACATTTTCACAGAGAGGATCAACAGTTCAGATCCCAGTAATGACTGTCAGGATGTTCATGGTACCCTGGTGGGACCCCACAGTGAGTGGGACCCTGAGCTGTGGGATGGCCCTGAAAGCAGAGCTCACCCCGTGGCCAGCCCCCATCCCAGGCCCCCAGCCAGGGGTTCAGCTGTGGGCTGCTCTCACCTCCTCCTTCTCTCCACTCTGCAGGTCCCGCCACTCCTCGATGGGCTGGCCCAGGTCCACTGTGTTCATGGGCACCTTCACCTCCCCGATGATGTCGTGCTTGGAGAAGCGATCGAAGTCGTAGATGGCCATCACCAGCGTCTTCCCACCCAGCTCCTGGTAGGGCACCTGCACAAAGGGAGAGCAACCAGGCTGCAAGGGGGACCCTGAGCCAGGACCACCTGCTCCTGGAAGGGAGAGGCAGCACACAGGGCTGCTACAGCCAGGGGAAGGACTGGAGGGGGAGACAAGGTCCTTGTTATGGATGCAGGGCTCACCTTGAAGGTGAAGGTCTCATTGAAGGCAGGGTTGAGGGTCTTCTTCTGCACTTTGGTCTCATATTTTTTCTTCTTGTCAGGGAGCAGGAACACCTTGACGTATGGGTCTGAGGTGCCACCCATGTCCAAAGCTGGCAGTTCAGCAGCTTGGAGGATCCCCACTGTGAGCTGGAAGGGCAGAGGAGTCCTCAGTGAGACAGCCCAGCCATGCACTGCAGCTGCCAAGGGTTCGTCTCCAGTCCAGCATGGGGCAGGACTTCTCTGACACAGCACCCAGCTCCTCCTTCCCTCGTGTGCCTCCCAGGTCCAGCACAGATTCTCCTCTCAACTCCCCCCCAGGCAAACCCCACTCGTCAGCTGAGCCCCAGCCCCTCCATCACCTGGTTTGCCTGGAAATCATAGTCCAGTGAGAACTGCAGCTTGCCCAGGTTCTCTGGCTCCTTCTCCTCTTCCTCACCTTCCCCCTCTGTCAGACCCGTCTCTGCATCATCGTCATCCTGTTGGTCCTGCAATGGCAGCCAGGTCCAGCTCAGCAGGACAGACACAGCCCAGCAGCCCCAGCCCCACAGCCCTGGGCACCTCAGCACCCCAACCCTCCTGGTGTCTCAACAGCCAGGTTCTCCCCACCAGAGGGAGGGGGACCCACGTGCTGGGGACAGGAAGCACAGACAGAGCAGGCTGGGGTGGCACTGGGGGTGGCACTGGGGGCGGCACTGGGGATGGTACTGGGGATGGTACTGGGGGTGGCACTGGGGGTGGCACTGGGGATGACACAGCCACGCAGCTCCCAGGGAGGCCCCGGTGCTGATCCAGCCAAAATGACAGGGGGGCTGCCAGGGGTGCCAGGACAAGGGATTGACTGCAGTGGAGGGAGTTCTGGTGCTTGCAGCTGGTGGGTCCTGTGCCCCCAGCCCGTGCTTGAAGGAGCACCACAGCCAGAGCTAAGGGCTTGTCAGGGCCATTTCCAGGCTTTGTAGGCTCAGAAATAGATTGTCCCCAGGAAATCCACCCATCTTCCTGCCTCTCCAAGCACAGTCCATGGGGTGGGAGTCCCAGCTCCTTGCCCCCTCTTTGATGTGTCCCCAGTCCCCCATCCCACCCAGAGGCAGATGATGAAGGAGGCTCATGGTGACACTTACGTGGAGGGTGTCCCCAAGCAGAGGCAGCCAGGGCAGGACAGCGAGGGCACCGTGGGCAAAGAGAGACACAGACACTGTGTTACACAGACACTGAGGGACCTGGCAGGGTGGGGGATCAGACCTTGTGCCACCTGGGGATCTCACCTCACACCTGCCCCCTCTCCTGCTCCAGTCCTGTCTGCATGCCCATGGTGCCCACATGGCTCTGAAGAGCAGGAACAGATACCCAATTTCTCCCACCCCCTCCAAATGGCCATGGATCAAGGCCATTGAAATGGCTGGGGTGGCCCCAAGCCTGTGGGTACCAAAGCCTGCCTTGGGCTGGCCACCAGGATGAGTTACCAGCACCTGCCACTTCACCGCAGACGTTTTGGGGATCCCAAACTGCCCGGTGTTCTGGCCTGGTGGGCCTCCCCTCTCAGCTAAAGGCACAGAGAAATGAGTCTGACCCAGAGGGAGGTGGGATTAAATCAACATTTCCTGGCTCGGGTGAAGCATTGGCAGGTCCAGGCCAGCTTGAGCCTGGTCCATCTGGGCCACCAGACACTGGAAGAGGACAGTGCTGCTGTCCCAGGTCCTGGCTCCATCCTGGGGTCCTGGTGGCTCCATCCCAATCTGCTGCCTGGTCTATGAGTGCCCTGACACAGTCCATAACTCAGCCAGAGGGGCTGTTGGCCAAGCAGCCCAGGAGGACATCACCTGGTTGCCTGACTTCATGTCCTTCATGTTCATGGCATTCTTCATGCCTTTACCCTTCTCCTTCTTGTTCTTCTTCTTCTTGCAGCAGCACTTCTTGCAGATGCAGAAGCAGCAGGTGAGGATGAGGAGTCCGGCCACGACAGCGATGGCGATGAGGGCCCAGGGTGGCACTGTGGGTGAAAGCCAGTGTCCTGGTCAGCCCTGCAGCTCCCTCCCAGCCACCCAAAACCTTGTTCCACAGGTTCTACTGGGACCAGTGTGGTGGGGAGGTCATCAGGAGGGTAACACCTGGAAAGGAGCTACTCACAGGGGATCTTGTTGAGCTCATTCATGAACTTGTCCCTCAGCTTGGTGAACATGTCCTCCTTGCTCTCGCCCGGCCCCGCAGCCTCCGTGGAGTTCTCCATGGTGCTCATGGGCAGCGTGCTGGCCGTGGCCTCCGGGGCCATCATGGACGCTTGCTTGAACGTCATGGTGGGCCAGGGGCTCCCTGGAACACATCACCCACTGGTCACACAGCCCTGCTGCCCCCACTCCTGCCCAGTGTCCCCAGGACAGCCCCTGCATGGGCAGCGGGGCTGCACCAGGACACCTCATCTTCTGCTAGAGGGGCACAGACCCAATGGCTGTGAGAGGTCATCTGGATACCTCACAAGCCATGGGAAGCCCAGTTGGCCCCTGGGTTTCCTGGTCCTTGACATCTCCAAAGCCACTGGGAGCATCACCCAGCCCTGCATCAATGATGGTGCCAGCTCTGAGCCTCCTGGGGACAATGGGGACACTCCTGGGAGGAGTTCACCTGGCATGGCCCCTTGGGATGAGGGGAGGGGGTTTGCATCCCCAGGAGAGAAGAATGAGATCAGCTGGGACAAATGCAGCCCTCCCATCTCCTCCTTTTCTCAGGCAGGGATCCCAGGCATGGAACACCTACAGGGACTCAGCAATGATGTGGGACCTCAGGACTTGCTCCCAGCCCCAGGGTAGCTTCCAAGTCTGGGAACAGCAGCAAAACTGCTCTTCTGCCAGCCCCCAGGGAGCTTTGGCAGGGCACATTTTGAGGATGGATGGAAGCAGGGAAGAGCTGGCTCTACACAGCAGTGGCAGGTTCAGTGTGCAGGTCAATGGGTCAACCCACATGTCACAGGTACCATGTCCTGGGTGCCACACCTCCCAGCCCCACAGGGCTCCCCTGGCCAGCTCTGTTCCTCCATGGATACAGGGAAGGTGTTCAGGTCACAAACAGCCCAAGAGGCTCTGCACCCCCTCCACAGCCCAGCTGGGTCTGAGCACCCACTAAGGATGGGCACAGCCATCGTCCTGTAAATGTGGCTTTGACTCCTGCAGGCAAACCTGGTACAAAGTACCCCCAGAACCCCAGCTCCAGCCCCAAAGTGCCTCCACAACCCCATCGGAAAGCAGCTTGCAAGAGAAGACCAAAACAGGGAACAATGCCAGGGAATGCAGAGTGCCGGTGGGGTTAAGGAGAACACCAGGCTCTCCAGCAGGGGAAGCAGGGACAGCAGGATCACTGATAACCCAGGAAGGAGTTTCTGGGGGCAGGTGAGCTGTGGCTTGAGTGCACCCCCTTCCTTGCATCTCTTCTTTCCTCCTCACCCTCAAGAAGCCTCTCAGTCAGAGCATCATCCCCTGGGCCCAGGTGCTCCTCTGCCTTTCCTGCAGAACTTGGGAAAGAGTGCTCTCATCTCAAAAAAGGCAGCTAGAGAGACCCAGGGGCGTTGCTGTCCCAAAGTGACACTGCTGTGTGTCTCTGGCCACCTCGCAGGTGAATCAAGCACTGAATTACCCAGTGTGTGGCTGCACCCCTGGACACCTTCCTCCTGCACCTCTGCTCTGGGGGAACGTGGTGTGGGGGTCTAGGGGGGCCCCCCATGAGGCAGAGACAGTCCTTCACACAACAAAATGGGATTATGTGACTCCCACCTAGGCAAGGTCCCTGCTGCAGCTTTGTCACCCTTGGCCACAGTCACCTTCCCACCCCACCGAGGGGCTGTCACAGCCCAAACACCAGCAGCATCAGCATCACCTAGCCCTGGCACTGGGGGCTGGAGCAGGAGGCTGGAGGTCCCCCATAACCCCCACATCCTTCTTGGGATGAACCAGGAGCTGCTGCATTTAACCCCTGTGTTGGGGAAGATGGAACAGGAAAGCCTTATAAATATGATTGCTTGGCAAAAGATTTTGAGAATATGGAAACTATAAGCGAGATTGAAATGAAAGCAAGCTTTGAGATCCCTCAGTTACTGAACAACTGGAAAACAATGGTGTGGCCAGCTGAAGGTGATCCCCTTTAGATGGAACAACACCCTCTGCTTGCAGACAGGCCCAAGGGTCAGAGCAGACCCTACAGCTTGGCAGAAGGGGCTCAAAGGGGAGTGTCTGTGTGTGTGCACGGGGAGTGTCTGTGTGTGTGCACAGGGAGTGTCTGTGCGTGTCCATGGGGAGTGTCTGTGTGTGTGTGCACAGGGAGTGTCTGTGCGTGTGCACGGGGAGTGTCAGTGTGTGTGCAAGGGGAGTGTCTGTGTGTGGGTGTACAGGGAGTGTCTGTGTGTGTGCAAGGGAAGTGTCTGTGTGTGTGCAAGGGGAGTGTCTGTGTGTGTGCGAGTGTCTGTGTGTGTGCACAGGGAGTGTCTGTGTGTGTGCACAGGGAGTGTCTGTGCGTGTGTGTCCAGGGAGTGTCTGTGTGTGTGCACAGGGAGTGTCTGTGCGTGTCCATGGGGAGTGTCTGTGCGTGCCCATGGGGAGTGTCTGTGTGTGTGCACAGGGAGTGTCTGTGCGTGTGTGTACGGGGAGTGTCTGTGTGTGTGCACAGGGAGTGTCTGTGCGTGTCCATGGGGAGTGTCTGTGCGTGTCCACGGGGAGTGTCTGTGTGTGTGTGTACAGGGAGTGTCTGTGTGTGTGCACGGGGAGTGTCTGTGTGTGTGCACAGGGAGTGTCTGTGTGTGTCCACAGGGAGTGTCTGTGTGTGTGCACGGGGAGTGTCTGTGTGTGTGCACAGGGAGTGTCTGTGTGTGTACAGGGAGTGTCTGTGTGTGTGCACAGGGAGTGTCTGTGCATGTCCACGGGGAGTGTCTGTGTGTGTGCACGGGGAGTGTCTGTGTGTGTGTGTACAGGGAGTGTCTGTGCATGTGCGTGGGGAGTGTCTGTGCGTGTGCACGGGGAGTGTCTGTGTGTGTGCACAGGGAGTGTCTGTGCGTGTCCACGGGGAGTGTCTGTGCGTGTGCACGGGGAGTGTCTGTGCGTGGCTGCACACGGGGGGAAATGGAGGTGTAGGCATGGCCATGCACTTGTGCAAGCAGGTGTGTGTGGAACATGCAAATGTGTGAAGGTGTGGACGCTTGTGCAAGGTGTGTGCACAGGGTATGGGAGTGTGTGTGTGTGTGTGTGCAAACGTGCACAGGGTATGGATATGTGTGTGTGTGTGTTTGTGTGTGTGTGTAAACGTGCACAGGGTATGTAAATGCTCGTGCACAGTGTGTGTGTGTGAATACTCATGCTCAGGTGTGTGCCTGTGGCTGTGCACAGGTGCGAGCACACCTGTCTGGGGCTGTGTGTGAGTGCCCGGGGCTGTGTGTGAGTGCACAGGCAGACAGTGTGTGCCTGGGGCTGTGTGTGAGTACACAGGGCTGTGTGTGAGTGCACAGGCAGGCAGTGTGTGCCCGGGTCTGTGTGTGAGTACACAGGGCTGTGTGTGAGTGCCCGGGGCTGTGTGTGAGTGCCCCAGGGCTGTGTGTGGGTGCACAGGGCTGTGTGTGAGTACACAGGACTGTGTGTGAGTGCCCCGGGGCTGTGTGTGAATGCACAGGCAGGCAGTGTGTGCCTGGGGCCGTGTGTGAGTACACAGGGCTGTGTGTGGGTGCACAGGCAGGCAGTGTGTGCCCGGGTCTGTGTGTGAGTACACAGGGCTGTGTGTGAGTGCCCGGGGCTGTGTGTGAGTACACAGGGTTGTGTGTGAGTGCCCAGGGCTGTGTGTGAGTGTCCGGGGCTGTGTGTGAGTGCCCCAGGGCTGTGTGTGGGTGCACAGGGCTGTGTGTGAGTACCTGGGGCTGTGTGTGAGTACACAGGGCTGTGTGTGGGTGCACAGGCAGGTAGTGTGTGCCCGGGGCTGTCCCCGGGGCTGTCCCCGGGGCCGTGCACATCCGCCCGGGCTGTGTTGCCTGTCCCCTCAGGCAGGGCCCGTGTGGCTGTGCACACCAGCCGTGTGTGTGCGTGTGCCCACCCGTGCGAGGCAGTGCCCGCAGCCCGTGCAAGGCTTGCACACACCCGCACAGCCCCGAGTGCCCGGGGGGCTGTGGGGCACAGATGCAGCCCAGGCCCTTATCCAGGGAACTGCTGCTTCGGGGGCTGCTGCAGAAACTGTGCGGGGCTGCCCGGGGCTGGGGGCTGCAGGCAGCCTCAGGCCTCGCTGGAGGGGCTGCTTTTGAACCGGGCAACCTAATTAGCATCACTAATTGCTCCCTTGTGGTGCTCAGCGGGCGCTGGCAGAGCTGAGGCCCGGGAGGTGCCTGCGGGGAGCCAGGAAATGGAGGCCCTGTTGCTGCTCCCCTCGCCCGAGCACCCCACAGGCCCTGCCATGGGGCGGGGGCTGATCCTGCCCCCAGGCGGGGGCACCAGGCTTTGATCTGCCTCCTGCAGGGGCGGGGCAGGGCAGGGCAGTGCCGTGGGGCAGCCGGGGAGCGAGGGGAGGCTGCGAGGGCAGGGAGGGGGGCACTCTGTGGGGCACCGAGAGCAGCCAGCGGGGCACTGTGATCTCGGAGATGCCCCCTCAGCTCCAGGTCCCAGTCCCCACGGTGCCTCACTGGGTGTCCCCGGGCACACTCCGTGTCCCCAGCAGGCACAGGCGGGCAGCCCAACCCCTCAGCTGTGGGGGCAGAGCTGCTGCGAGCCCAGGGCTCAGATTCTCAGGGGTGGGGGCCCGTCCCGGCCGCCTTGTCCCAGTCCCGGCCCCTTCCCCGGCAGCGGGCGGGGGCCGTGCGGGCACGGCTGCGGCACTGCATTGCAGTCCTGCTCCGGCTCCGCTGCCTGCTTGGGCTTTTTTTTTTTTTTTTTCCATTCCTTTTGCAATTTTTTCCCCTCCTCTTTGCAAGTTGCGGCAGCCGCTGGCGAGGAGCCGAGGGCCGGCGGTGCGGGTGGAAAGGGAGCTCGGCCCCCGCAATCGCCACCGCACCCCCGAACCCCGCTGGGCTGCCCCTGCCGAGGACACGCTGCCGTTCTTCAAGTTTCCTCTTTATTCTGCCTGGTTTGGAGTTGTTCCCCGCCAACCCCCACTGCTCCCGTCCCTCCCCCCGCCAAGATCGCAGGTTAGGGACATAAAGAAAATATGAGGGTTATAATTAACCATTTCTATCAGTCCTTGGCCGAAGAACGAGCGTAGGTTAAGGCATCATGAATAAATTCTGGCTAGGAAGGGGCCCCTTGCTGCCTTGCTGGGGATCTCCCAGCCCATCCGTGGGGT